AAGTCTCTCAAGAAAAAAGGAGCTTCCCTTTTTAAGGACTTTTGCCATCCATTTACATACCATTCTTTCCACTTCTCACCCTCCTGGCTGGTGGTTTAATCTCCGGCCCCAGAATCGGGGAGACACCACAGGGGGCAGGGACAGGAAGAGGCATCTAGCCGTAGGGGGTGTGACAGTCATGGTATTTCAGTGAGCAAGCCCTTATCTGAGCCCTATGAAGCTTTAAAGCACTGAATTGTTTCCAGTAAACATTACACAGATGCCTGCTCCCAGGCCGAAGGGGAAGTGGGTTTCTGCTCAAGGTCTGGTGTCCCCACAAGCGCTCACCTCACTGTCTCCACTATTGACTAAACAGGCCAAGACCCAAACCCAGGAAACCGTGTGGCCCATGGAAGCCGAGGTCTTCACACCTCAGTTAATGTAGTCAAGGTGAACTGCCTCCTTCCAAAATGCCCATAGGCCAACCTGATCTAAAGAGTTCCTCATTGAGACTATCTTTCTGGGTGATTCTAGATTATGTCAAATCAACAGTTAAAACCAAACACCACATCACTAACAATCTAAACATCTACTTTCTCTTCACTTTCATTGACAACTACGGCTATATCTTCATCTCGCTTACATCTCTGTAGGCTCCTGCATTCTGAGTTTACTAACCACATGTCTCCTTGAGTCTGCTGCAGTATCACCCCTGCTCTCTATTCCCTTAATGGGGTTTAAATTCTGCTGTTGTGTTTCCCAAATCCCTGTTATCGCACCCATTTCCCCCCTCTCGTTGCATCCAAGCTTTTACAATGACTGCCGTGTCTTTTACATATTGCTTCAGTTCCCTTTTGACCTTGTGATCAATAATAAGCCTGTTGCTATGAAGTTTTGTATTTTGCTTTTACTTATCTACATTTTGCTTCTTTAATCATTACCTGGTAATAGAGCATCTATTTAGTTTTAGTCAAAATGCTCTAGAGAAACAGAACCAACTGGACAGACATTTTGGGAGTGGTTTGTTCATGTGAGTATGGGGTCTGTGAAGTTGAGTGATCTGCCACCTAGAAGCTGATATTCCTGGGAATTCTGGTGCTAGAGACAGTAAATGTCTCATTTAAGCCTAACGGCATGAGCATAAGCCTGTGAATGAAGGCCCTGGAATAAGGAGTTCTGATGTCCAAGAGTAGGAGAGGTGGATGTCCCAACTCAAGCAGAAAAAGCAAACCAGGTTGAACGATGCCAACCCAGATGGCTGGTGGCAGATCTTCATGCATTCCACGGTTTGAAGATGAATTTATTCTGGAAACATCCCCACACAGACACATGTAGAAATAATGTTTTACCAGCTCTGAGTACTCTAAAGCCCACTCAAGTTGACAGATAAAATTGTCTGGGACAAAATAAAGTGTCAGGTTGATTGACTTGGATTATGGACTTCATTATATGTGAGCCAAACCTCCTCCTAAAGTGCCTTTTTAGAATAGAGAAACTTAAAAAATATTCAATCCTATATAAACTCCCATTTTTAGCAGCGATGAACTTGTGAGAACCTCCCCTCCATTGCTTATTTTAGAGGATACTGAAGGATGTGGTCAAATTTACTAAGAACCTTTACTTTTTACTTTTATGTTGTATTGAAATATGATGACTAAAAACAACTTAGCGAAGAAATACTTTATTTTAGTTTATGGTGCCAGATAGAATCTACACTAATACAGAAAGTATGATGACTCACAAACATGGTCGCAGGATTGGGAATCTGGCTGATCACATTTTCATCTACACACAGGAAGGAGCAGAAGGAAGAATGGGTGATGCTATAATCCTTCAAAGCGTGCCCTACTGGTGCACCTCCTCTAGAAAAGCTTCACCTTCTAGAGGTTCCATCACCTCCCCAAACAGTGGCACCAAGTGTTCAAAGACATGAACCCATGGGGGGATTTCTCATTTAACCACAACAAATACTCTGACATTCCTAATTGTTCCCACCCTTAGTTGTCTTCTGACTACCCAGTTTTGTTGTTGCTGCTGTTGGGATTTGCGTACCCCGAAAGGATGTAGAAAGATGTCAGTGAATGTAGGATGATGGAGAGATTTAAGCTCAGAGGTCTCCACAGTCCACAAAGGTTCCAAGTATTACAGGGTAGCGTAATATATATGTTTAAGAGACATTCAGATATGAAAAGTAGCTTTTTTTCCTACCTTACTTTCCTTGGCAACGTTTTAATAAAACCAGTCTGGTTAATGAAAATCTGACACTTTGGTTATTATTCTTAAGTCATGTCCATCTTCTTTATGACTATCAGCACGCCCTCTCGGACCTTGGCCTAATGTTTAATGGAAGCCTTGATTGCCTGTGGTCTTGTGAATTGTCTTGTTCTATTGTGCTCTTACTAATATATCTTTGAAACATTAAGAGATAGTATGTAGGTCAGTTGCTTTGAGTGAGGAATCCTCATGTCTATTATACTAACTGCATGGTAGTTTTTGTCTTACTAGTTGAACACAATGCATTGGGCTCTAGCTATGGGATTGTTGTGCTTTAAACTTTACTCATAAGAAACTATTGTTTCTAGGAGGAGATGAAGATGATAAATAACTTTAAAACTTGCTTTGTATACGGTATAAATGTCAGTTTAAAATTATTGTTGAGGTAACCACTTCAACTTTAATCTATATGCCAATCCCAAGAATATTGCTGCCAAGGTTATGATGAAGTGTCCCAAAATGTACATATTCATGGACAGTACTGTATTTCTTTCTTCAGAATTCATGACTAAATCAACTATGCTGACAGAAACTCAGAGGAAGATATACAAGAAAGTAAAACATATGTAGATATTGCCCATCTTTAACAGGCTTTAAAAACCTCAGCACAAGAGTGATTGATAGGTAAGGGTATATCATAAACATATAAGAACTTGAAGGATTTTATGACATACTAAAAATGGAAAAAATGGAAGCCAGACTTCAAAATTCATGTGCTTATTCATCCAAAGCTTGAACTTTGCCCTACCCATCTTTGATGACAAATAATAGTAAAACCACTCGACTTTTCATGATAGAAATACATGTATATCTAAACAACAATCAACTGTTGCTTAGTCTGTTGATAAATAGAAAGGTCTATACACATACTCATTTGCAAGGTTGTGTTGGAGTGGTTTTATACTTTTATAGCCTCCCAAAAACTAACTTTACATATTTTTCTAAAACTGTTTAAGAAAGCTATCATACGGTAGCTTAAAAACCCACCACACTTTGACAACTTAGCTTATATCAGTCGGCAATGCTACAAGTTGTGCCCTTCCCTACAAGAGCCTGTTGTTAAACACCAACATGCTATATTTTTAGAGCTCCTTTAATGTTTTTCTGATGTTTACATGATTATATTTTGATCGTTTATATCAAGTTATCCATATATAATCAGCCAGGAATGCTGGATTTGAATTTCAACGCATTTGTTTTTACGTAAGAGCAAGATTCCATGTTTGAGTAGTGGCATAACTCCTTGTTTTTCATAAGCAGTAGGTAGTTTGCGGGTAATAAAAAAGAAAATACAACAAATAAGTAATATCCTCTTTGATGTCCATTATCATTAATCATACCAAGCTGAAGATATACTTCTGTTCAGTATTGTAAAGCAGTATATCAGTTCGATGATAAAGGCTTCTGGTTATATTAATAATGGACCTAATCTCATTTGCTCTAAAGCGTGTTTGTAAATGTGTCTCTGTCCCAGGTCCCTTCTTTTAGCAATATCCCATCACCCGGAGTAGAACATTCAAGAGCAGTACCCTGATAACTAAGTGTGGAGTCTGGGGCTCCAGGCAACTGCAGGCCTTAACCTTGCTGGATTCAGCGTTTCTCACCTGTATTTCTTTCTTTTTATTCTTTCCAGTTTTCTCTAGATGTATGAAGCTCATCATGTATGAAGTTTGTTGTGTGACATTATATCTCAGGCTTTAGATTTGGAACTAAACAGTCAATAGAAAAGGTGGCCATCCTGAGTCATGTAGAATGAGCTGGGTATGAAGCAATTTGTCATCTCATTAAAGTGGTATTTTTAAATTATTTAATACATTTTAATTAATTCTTTAGAATTTCATACATGCATATAATATATTCTCCCACAACTTATCCTACATCTACCACCAACCCCCTCCCAATTTTATTCCTCTTTTACAAAATAATCCACAAACTCCAGTTTGTGCTAGCTGCGTATTCATAGGTGTGGGGCTGTCCACTGAAGTATAGTCTACCTAACAGAGGCTGCATGCTAAAGAAAACTGATTCTTCCTGCCCTCTGCAGCCATCAACTGTGACAGTTCCTCAGCTGGAGAGGGAACTCATGAGTCCCTCTCTCCTTCAGGCTGGGACACTGAGAGGCTTGATCTTGTGTAAGTCATGTGCAGGCAATGATGGCTACTATGAGTCCATGAGCGCATCAGACCTGTCATGTTCGGAGCACATTGTTGCTCTCCAGTCATCCCTGATCTCTGGCTCTTGGAATCTTACGCATCCCACTTTCTTGATGTTCCATGACCCTTGAGGTGAGGGGATGCAACATAATGTAGAGGCCCTGTTTGTGACTGAGCACCACGGGTATTTGTTTTCTGCATTTTGAACACTTTCCCAAGTGTTTCTTATTAACCAGTATCTATCGCAGAACAAACAAAAACAAAAACAACAAAAAAACAAAAAACAACCCTTCTCCAATGAGGTCGGGGAACTGCACCAATCTATGGATGTAGAAATATAAATTTAGAAAACAATTTGATACTGGTTCTATTAATCAAAATAATGGTAGTATATTCATTCCTGGGGCACCATAGCTCCAAAGATATGGATTCTTGGCCAGACTTACAGTAGTAGACATGTGTTTCATTCCATGGAGCAGCCCTTTAAATAGAATCAGAAAGTGGTGGGCTCCTCTTGTAACATTCATACCACTATTGCCCTCATGGGAAATAGGTATTTTAGATATTCTTTTGTGGTTTCAGCTTGAAAACACCATTCCTGTCTTTTACGCTGCACAAATTTACTTGTTGCTGGCTTTGAATGGAGTAAGCATGCAGAGCTGAGTTAATCTGGTATGTTTTCCAATATTTTGAGTAATATTTTAATGTTCTTTACAGATATATTTATCAACTTTTCATGTCTATCACTTGGTATTTCACTAAAAGAAGATTCAGCAATTCTCATTCATTTGGTCTGAGTGGGACATAAAATCAACTCTGAATAGACAGTTCCTTATTTCTGTACAAAATTAGAGACAAAATTAGTTCTTTTCTTTAATCTTATAAACCATTTTCTTTTTGAAAGAGAAAGAGTAGGCCAATGCCATTATAAGAATGTCCTGAGTTTTAAATTTAACTTTCCAAAACTGAAATTTCAATACTAAGAGGATAATTTGATTCTGTGATTTTAGGATTTGTATCTCAAAGATACTGCTTAGACTATGTCATGTAAAATCTCTGAGAGGTATTGTAAGTATTTTTAAAATGATAAAAATTTGATCCAATCACTAAGAATCTTTCTTTAAAGTATTTTAATTGCTCAAGCCATCCATGCTTTCATGATTCCTTATTTATACCTCTGTAACCCCAATAAATTCATTGATTAATGAGGTTAAATTTTTTTAAAATTTATTTTTATTTTATGTGCATTGAGTTTTGTCTGCATGTATGTATGTGTGAGGGTGTTGTATCCCCTAGAATTGGAATTACAGACAGTTGTGAGCTGCCATGTGGGTACTGGGAATTTAACCTGAGTCCTCTGGAAGGGCAGCCAGTGCTTTTAACTTCTGAATTATCTCTCCAGCCTGAAATTAAAAAAAATTAAGGAGTTATACAGGATACTGAAACTTTAGGCATAAAGTGTACTGGTAATGATTTATACAACCCCAGATGCCTAGATGGTGACATTTCTATGAGAATTTCCCATTAATCCTGTGTTTACTTCCTAATGTACTAGGACATTCTGGGTTATCAATATAGGAAAACCAAGTTTCCACACATTCAGCAGATTTGCTACCCATCATGAAATTTTTATCTGTGCATTTCTGAGTAAACCATAAGCTCTCAATGATGTGTCCCTACCAGGTACACCCAAGATGCTCAATAAATTGTTGTTAGATACAATGAATTTGAACTAAACTTCTATGCTTGGTTCACATGCTTGCCTGCATAATTTAAATGTTGCCTGGCACAAGCATATGTTTTCATTAATGGTCAGTCCTACATGAACCTTATTGGACCAGTTAGATGAGCAGGTCAGTTCATTCTCTTCAGTATTTATGATTTAATTCCCATCTTCCTTCATTAAACTTCTGCCAGCTATTTCAAGAAATTTTGAGCTCTCCCTTTCCCAAACATCCAAGGATCATTATACTTTATACTGTTGCCATGTAATCTTAGAAGAGATCAGGTCTCCAAAATCATTGTGAAATTCTTAAAAACAGGGACAATTCCACATTGTTTTTTTGTAAACTACAATTATTAGCACAGAGATAGACACAGAAACTGTTCAAATAAACTTTATAGAATAATATTAAATAGTACAAATAAATAAACTTTATTCAAATGACTTGATCCTTTCCTAGTGGTCATTGGCTGTGCTCTATGAAGGTTAAAACCTTTCCATAACAGTGCCTTTCATCAATATTCTAGTCCCTTTTTAGTTCCATCACATTTCTTACCTTAGTTAAATGTAAACTCTTAGGTTATCTACAATTGCTAAAAGGCCCTAACATTGTAGGACCCTGCAAAGTTCTTCAACCATTAGCAGATGTAACAAAAGTGTTTATCAAAACATTTACAGACCACTCACAACCTTCACTTCACTATTTATTACTACCCCAACTTTATCCTTAACACTTACTCCCACTCTATGAATCCATATATCAACATCCCCATCCCCTATTTAACCTAAACTTAGGTGTTATATTTATTTTATCCACATCAAGTCTCTCTACTCAATTTCTTGATGAGGCTGAACATAGAATTCAAAATATTCTCTTATTGTGGCCTTTCAAATAGTTTCCCAAACAATCTCATATGAAAATATTCCAGCTGTTAACTATCCTATTAGTTATTCTCAGAAACGGTTCCTTTTCCTTCCATCCTTAATTTTACCCAAGAACCTTTCCATAAGACTTATTATTACAGCCTGATTCATAGCCACACAATCATTCATCTCAATCTTGGCGGGAGCTAACTTCTCTCCCTTTGCCTTAATAGTTTCATTTCTCCAACGGCATGAGGACCAAGAAAACGTAGAAGTAGAAATAAGACCTGTCCTATCTTCCTCAAAGCTATGTTGTTTAAATAGCCTCCAGCTACACGAGACTAGTAAATTGATTCAAATTAAGAAGAATTAAAATCCTGTTCCTAAGGCACATCAATGATATTTCAAATGTTTAATAGCTACATGTGGCCTATGGGCATCTTACTAGACAACACAGATGTGCATGCTCTCATCACAGTTACATAGGACAGTGCTGCATTACACATATATGCATGCCCACATCACAGTTACATAGGACAGTGCTGCATTACAGATATGTGCATGCCGTCATCACAGTTACATAGGACAGTGCTGCATTACAGATGTGCATGCCCCCATCACAGTTACATAGGAAAGTGCTGCATTACATATATGTGCATGCTCTCATCACAGTTACATAGGACAGTGCTGCATTACACAGATGTGCATGCCCTCATCACAGTTACATAGGACAGTGCTGCATTACAGATGTGCATGCCCTCATCACAGTTACATAGAACAGTGTGGCATTACAGATGTGCATGCCCTCATCACAGTTACATAGAACAGTGTGGCATTACAGATGTGCATGCCCTCATCACAGTTACATAGGACAGTGCTGCATTACACAGATGTGCATGCCCTCATCACAGTTACATAGGACAGTGCTGCATTACAGATGTGCATGCCCTCATCACAGTTACATAGAAGAGTGTGGCATTACAGATGTGCATGCCCTCATCACAGTTACATAGGACAGTGCTGCATTACACAGATGTGCATGCCACCATCACAGTTACATAGGACAATGCCGCATTACATATATGTGCATGCCCCCATCACAGTTACATAGAACAGTGCTGCATTACAGATATGTGCATGCCGTCATCACAGTTACATAGGACAGTGCTGCATTACATATATGTGCATGCCCCCATCACAGTTACATAGAACAGTGCTACATTACAGATATGTGCATGCCCACATCACAGTTACATAGGACAGTGCTGCATTACATATATGTGCATGCCCTCATCACTGTTACATAGGACAGTGCTGCATTACAGATATGTGCATGCTCTCATCACAGTTACATAGGACAGTGCTGCATTACAGATATGTGCATGCCCCCATCACAGTTACATAGGACAGTGCTGCATTACAGATGTGCATGCTCTCATCACAGTCACATAGGACAGTGCTGCATTACACAGATGTGCATGCCCTCATCACAGTTACATAGGACAGTGCTGTATTACAGATGTGCATGCCCCCATACAGTTACATAGGACAGTGAGGCATTACACAGATATGTGCATGCTCTCATCACTGTTACATAGGACAGTGCTGCATTACAGATATGTGCATGCCGTCATCACAGTTACATAGGACAGTGCTGCATTACAGATGTGCATGCCCACATCACAGTTACATAGGAAAGTGCTGCATTACACAGATGTGCATGCTCTCATCACAGTTACATAGGACAGTGCTGCATTACACATATGTGCATGCCCTCATCACAGTTACATAGGACAGTGCTGTATTACACGGATGTGCATGCCCTCATCACAGTTACATAGGACAGTGCTGCATTACACATATGTGCATGCCCTCATCACAGTTACATAGGACAGTGCTGCATTACACGGATGTGCATGCCCTCATCACAGTTACATAGGACAGTGCTGCATTACACAGATGTGCATGCTCTCATCACAGTTACATAGGACAGTGCTATGTTACAGAGATGTACATGTCCACATCACAGTTACATAGGACAGTGCTGCATTACACAGATGTGCATGCTCTCATCACAGTTACATAGGACAGTGCTGCATTACACAGATGTGCATGCCCTCATCACAGTTACATAGGACAATGCCACATTACACAGATGTGCATGTCCACATCACAGTTACATAGGACAGTGCTGCATTACAGATATGTGCATGCCCTCATCACAGTTACATAGGACAGTGCTGCATTACAGATATGTGCATGCCCCCATCACAGTTACATAGGACAGTGCTGCATTACAGATATGTGCATGCCCTCATCACAGTTACATAGGACAGTGCTGCATTACAGATATGTGCATGCCCCCATCACAGTTACATAGGACAGTGCTGCATTACACATATGTGCATGCCCTCATCACAGTTACATAGGACAGTGCTGCATTACACGGATGTGCATGCCCTCATCACAGTTACATAGGACAGTGCTGCATTACACAGATGTGCATGCCCTCATCACAGTTACATAGGACAGTGCTGCATTACAGATGTGCATGCCCTCATCACAGTTACATAGAACAGTGTGGCATTACAGATGTGCATGCCCTCATCACAGTTACATAGGACAGTGCTGCATTACACAGATGTGCATGCCACCATCACAGTTACATAGGACAATGCCGCATTACATATATGTGCATGCCCCCATCACAGTTACATAGAACAGTGCTGCATTACAGATATGTGCATGCCGTCATCACAGTTACATAGGACAGTGCTGCATTACAGATGTGCATGCCCCCATCACAGTTACATAGAACAGTGCTACATTACAGATATGTGCATGCCCACATCACAGTTACATAGGACAGTGCTGCATTACATATATGTGCATGCCCTCATCACTGTTACATAGGACAGTGCTGCATTACAGATATGTGCATGCTCTCATCACAGTTACATAGGACAGTGCTGCATTACAGATATGTGCATGCCCCCATCACAGTTACATAGGACAGTGCTGCATTACAGATGTGCATGCTCTCATCACAGTCACATAGGACAGTGCTGCATTACACAGATGTGCATGCCCTCATCACAGTTACATAGGACAGTGCTGTATTACAGATGTGCTTGCCCCCATACAGTTACATAGGACAGTGAGGCATTACACAGATATGTGCATGCTCTCATCACTGTTACATAGGACAGTGCTGCATTACAGATATGTGCATGCCGTCATCACAGTTACATAGGACAGTGCTGCATTACAGATGTGCATGCCCACATCACAGTTACATAGGAAAGTGCTGCATTACACAGATGTGCATGCTCTCATCACAGTTACATAGGACAGTGCTGCATTACACATATGTGCATGCCCTCATCACAGTTACATAGGACAGTGCTGTATTACACGGATGTGCATGCCCTCATCACAGTTACATAGGACAGTGCTGCATTACACATATGTGCATGCCCTCATCACAGTTACATAGGACAGTGCTGCATTACACGGATGTGCATGCCCTCATCACAGTTACATAGGACAGTGCTGCATTACACAGATGTGCATGCTCTCATCACAGTTACATAGGACAGTGCTATGTTACAGAGATGTACATGTCCACATCACAGTTACATAGGACAGTGCTGCATTACACAGATGTGCATGCTCTCATCACAGTTACATAGGACAGTGCTGCATTACACAGATGTGCATGCCCTCATCACAGTTACATAGGACAATGCCACATTACACAGATGTGCATGTCCACATCACAGTTACATAGGACAGTGCTGCATTACAGATATGTGCATGCCCTCATCACAGTTACATAGGACAGTGCTGCATTACAGATATGTGCATGCCCCCATCACAGTTACATAGGACAGTGCTGCATTACACATATGTGCATGCCCTCATCACAGTTACATAGGACAGTGCTGTATTACACGGATGTGCATGCCCTCATCACAGTTACATAGGACAGTGCTGCATTACACATATGTGCATGCCCTCATCACAGTTACATAGGACAGTGCTGCATTACACGGATGTGCATGCCCTCATCACAGTTACATAGGACAGTGCTGCATTACACAGATGTGCATGCTCTCATCACAGTTACATAGGACAGTGCTATGTTACAGAGATGTACATGTCCACATCACAGTTACATAGGACAGTGAGGCATTACACAGATATGTGCATGCTCTCATCACAGTTACATAGGACAGTGCTGCATTACACAGATGTGCATGCCCTCATCACAGTTACATAGGACAATGCCACATTACACAGATGTGCATGTCCACATCACAGTTACATAGGACAGTGCTGCATTACAGATATGTGCATGCCCTCATCACAGTTACATAGGACAGTGCTGCATTACAGATATGTGCATGCCCCCATCACAGTTACATAGGACAGTGCTGCATTACACATATGTGCATGCCCCCATCACAGTTACATAGGACAGTGCTGCATTACACAGATGTACATGACCACATCACAGTTACATAGGACAGTGCTGCATTACAGATGTGCATGCTCTCATCACTGTTACATAGGACAGTGTGGCATTACACATATGTGCATGCTCTCATCACAGTTACATAGGACAGTGCTGCATTACAGATGTGCATACTCACATCACAGTTACACTAGAAATGTTGCATTACACAGATGTGCATGCCCACATCACAATAACATTGGACAATGTTGCATCACACATATGTACACGCCCACATAACAGTTAGATTGGAGTGGGCTGCATTAGCAACTGCAGTCACTTGAGATCTAATTGTTGGGCCTCTGTTTTTGAGAGAGTCTCTATGAAAGTTATGGAAGCTGGTGAGGGTAACTTTTGGCCAAAGGAAGTGTGCAATGAAGAGCTAGATGAGGGAGGAAGAGCATCACTAGCTGGGGGAGCCAGCCTCCAGTCAGCACCAGGGTATGAAAAAAAATCCACTAATGTGACAAAGGTTTAGGGAAAATTCCTTTCTGAGGGCTAAGCATTTTCTATCTGAGGGATAAACAAGGAGACACATGCTTTCTGATGGTAACTTTCTTTTTTTACTTCATCTTAAATAATCCTCTTTGAGAATCTCCCTGTCTCCACAAAGCTACCTTCTTTACATATAGCTACATATCTCTCTTTACATACATACATACATCTCTCTCCTCTGTGGCCCTATACCCAGTTACATCTTCTTTCTTTCTTCCTTCCTTCCTTCCTTCCTTCCTTTCTTCTTTTGATTTTTCGAGACAGGGTTTCTCTGTGGCTTTGGAGGCTGTCCTGGAACTAACTCTTGTAGACCAGGCTGGTCTTGAACTCACAGAGATCCACCTGCCTCTGCTTCCCGAGTGCTGGGATTAAAGGCGTGCACCACCAACGCCGGGGTAGTTGCATCTCTATTCACATGGATGTACATCTTTCTTTTACATGCATTTCTCTTCTATATCTCTTTTCTATGCAGCTTCGTCTTTCCTGTCTAACACTTGTCAAATCTCCACACAGCCATAGCTATACATTTCATTTACATACCCTCTCACCTATGACTCTTTACACAGCTCCTAGGCACAGATCCTCTTTATAGCAGCAGCTCTTTCACACAACTCTCTCTCTCTCCCTCTCTCTCTCTCTCCCTCTCTCTCTCTCTCTCTCTCTCTCTCTCTGTCTCTCTCTCTGTCTCTCTCTCTCTGCCCCTCTCTCCCTCTCTCTCACACACTCACCCACCCCCACACATATGCTTCTACATCATTCACCCACTCTTTACTCACTCACTCTCTCACTCACTGACTCTCTCAACGTCTCTCATGCTTCTTCTCGTCTCTCACATTTCTCTCTCTGCCCATTCAACTACAACCTTCACGCAGCACCTCCCCCTCTCTCTGCATAGCTCTTACATCGTTCTACACAGCCACCTCTCTCTGCTCCTCCCACAACCAAACTCTGGACAATTATGTGCTACATTTTCAGGGCCCAATTCATTCTCATCACACAAGATAACTCACATAGCTTCTCTTAGGCTAGGAATGTCACATTGACAGGCCAATGAGTAACACTTGGCCATGCACATAGCTCTTAGTTAGTGAGGGTTTCCAGACAGAAAATAACATTGAAATTCAAGACTTAACAATAAATTAGCTGGCTGAACTCTGAGTCCTGTAACATAACCTGAGGCTGAGTTACATGCAGAAAGTCCATTACTACGTGGGTTTATGTTTACCAAAGTTGCTTAATATCTGGCCTTGATTCAGACATAAATACCTGGGAATTTGTCCTTGTGTATCTATTTCAGGGGGTCTTTTGCATTTGTTCTGAAGTCTAAAATGAGCTGTCTTTGTGACTGAGAATACTATTACTTTCTTGTGTCAGTCAGCAATGAAAAATAGCCTAGTATTATTTCTATTCATTAGAATTACACTGTTAAGCAGAAGTCATCTTCCTGATTATCTACAGCTATACGTGTGCCCAATAGATAGAATATTTTCACAAGATAAACACACAAGCAGTGGGAATAATATCTATAGCTGTTATTTAGGGAAGGAATGTGGCAGCACGTGTGAGAATTACAGCCAGAAGAAATTGTTCATTTACAGTCGGTAGCTCCATGGCTCTGTGAAGTGGGCTTCCTCATCACAGAGTCATTTGTCTAGCAGGTCGACCTGCTAAACACTAGTTGTCACCTGCTGTATACTCCCATGGCCTCCTGCAGAAGAGTCCTGTGTCCTAGACCACCTGGAATGAGGGTGGGGCTTTATTGCCGACCACCTCCCTGGGATATCCTGTGGGAGCACTGTGAGGGGGAAGGGTCTCTCCCCCATACTTCCAGGGAACCTATAGCATCAGACAATTTTCTATCAGTGTGTCAAAATACCAAAGAATATCAACTTAAAGAGAGGAAAGGGTTATCTTTGCTCTTGGCACTGTTGCCTTGGGGCACTAATAAGGCAGCATGCTATGAAGCGCTTGGCTGAGAAAGTTGCTCACCTTATGGTGGTCAAGAACCAACCTTCTAGAGAGGAGGAGAGCCAGGGTCTCCATACCTCCTGCAAAGGCATATCTCCAGTGACCTTGCCTTCTTTCACAAGACCTCACCTCTTACAGGGTTTACTAGCTCCTGTGGAATCATCCCATGGGCACTGAGAACATAGCACATGGGTCTTTGAGGATCATTTAAGAAGCAGACCACAGAAAGAGCCACTAATTTTAATGCTAAGTGGCTGTGTTAGTCAGGATCCACTAGGATCCACTAGGGGAATGGAACTGCTGGAATTAACATATTATTAGATTGGCTTACACAACAGAGACAAGTAATTCCAAAAACAGATGTCTGCATGATGGTGAAGCTGAGAACATGGCATCTGCTCAATGCACACATATGGATCTCTTAGCAGACTCAACCTGGTGCTGAAGGTCTGAAGGATTCTTAGAGTGTCACTCATCTATACTCTGCATTAGAAGACTGAAGAAACTGGGTTCTGTTGCTATCTGAAGTATTATAGCAGCTGCAACAACAAAGGCGTAGACACAGCATTCACCAGCAAGAAGGGAAGGTAGGCAGGCAAGACGTATAGCATTTTCCTCAGACTGTCCAGGAAGCTGTTGAAAGGTATCTCTCATTCTGGAGGACAGGCTTGTCTCCTCACCTGATCCTTCTAGAAATGTCCTCATAGATTCATCTAGAGGTATGACACTGCTTTTTTCCAGATATGGCAGCCTTCTGATGACTTGTTATATTCTGACCAACCTCTCAGTGTAGACAGACCATTTCAGATGTCCAGAACAATCCAGATATAATAGAAATAAGAAAAAAATACAATTATGACTCATATGTAATACACCCAAGAGATACTATCTAGGAAATAAACATGAACTATAGTCATTACTATATATTTATTACATATATGACCAGGTGCTGACAATTTTATGAAGTATACGTTATTACTGCTATTATCATTTCATGTTACACATGGGAAAACATAAGCCCAGTTTTTTATTGCAAAACTGTGGATCACAGGGTGGAATGTAGCCCAGGCACTGCAGGCCCCTTATCTGTATTCTTAACTGGAACTGTGGCCTGCTTTGCCTTTCCAGCTTGATACCACTTCAACTTGTAATTTTCTCTGCTTTCTATGTATATAAACACTCAATGGGTGTTCATTCTGGCAGGGGTTTGCATGATTACTGTAGCCCAGGCAAGCAGTAGCTGAGTTTCTAGAGAATACTTGTCTTGATTGACAGATACCTCCATGGTGAGCTTGTAGCTAGCTAGCAATTGGAGTAAACTTCATCTTTTCTTTATTGCATATAGAATTTCTAATCTTTCCTGTGTTAAATATTTGTTTCATTTTTTAAAGAATGACCTAAGTAAGTGTATGCCTGTAGGGTTGTCTGGGGGTGGGGTAACACTTGATTTCAATTGCTTATCCTTCATGATAGTCTGTTTTCTGTCACAAACTAGATATTACACTCTTAAGAATAAGATCATTAAGTTAAGAAGCACCATCTGGGAATAATAAAAGCAGTAATTAAACACATAAATAAATAAAAGCAGCAGTTACTACTCCATTAATTGTCAGTGTATTCTCAGTCAGAACTGCTGGTAGAAAACATGGAATTCTAAGTTTTGTAAAATTCCATAAACTGGAAATATAACCCCAGAGAGGCTGTGTACCATCATTCTGTAGAGATGTCCTCACAGCTACAATCTACTGCTTAATTTTACATCAAAACTCTCTTGCCAGCAACTTGTGGAGGATCAAAGAATCTGATGGTAAAATGATGAAAGTTTTCTGAAAGCATTGGGGATATGGCATCAAACTCAACATTAAACACAAATATGTCATGTAATGATGATATCTTCTACAGAGTCAAGACCCTAGATCAATTTGAAGATGTTGCATTGGATGTTGGGAAGTTTTTCACCAACTTATATTTTGAGCTACAACTAAATTCTAGTCAGTCTAGAATGTGTGGAGGATAGACCCAAAGAGGACAAACTATCTTAAAGGAGCTCAAGAGCGAAGGCAAGAAAGAAATGAACATTCAAGAAGGCCACTGTGGGTAAACTTGATTAGAGGAATGCAAAAGACACAGAAGGCTCAGAGACATAGATCAGTGGCCATAGAATAAACTGTCCCCACAGTGGCACTAACTCATAACTGGTAGTCACAGTCATTTGTGTTCTTAGTCCTATCCCTCCAATAGAAGACATTACATAAAGATATATAATATCCTACTTCAATCTCACATATCACTACTAAAGAAATTAATGGGACTTGTGGTTTCAGAACATGGCCTTCAGCATGCCTCTTAAGCTGTAAGATACGTAAGTATTTTGTAGGTTATATTTGTTGGGTATGTGCTTAATAAGCATTAAGACTCCGAAGAACCTTAAGACTAAATAAACAATGGCAGAATTTAAATAAAGAATTTTGTATAGGTTTGCACAGAGAGACAAGAGTAAGGTTTTCTGTTGGCAAAACAGTTGTATTTATAGTGTCTGTACTGCTTTCCTGGCTCAGTACAGGGTTTGACAACTGACAAAGGGTGGTTAGAATACCATCTCACTCCTGTCAGAATGGCTAAAATAAAAAACACCAATGACAATTTATGCTGGAGAGGATGTGGTGAAAGGGGAACACTCCTCCATTGCTGGTGGGAGTGCCAACTTGTTCAGCCACTTTGGAAATCAGTATGGAGATTCCTCAGAAAAATGGGAATAAACCTACCACAAGACCCAGCAACTCCACTCTTAGGCATATATCCAAAAGATGCCCATTCATACAACAAGGATGTCTGTTCCACTATGTTCATAGCAGTATTATTTGTAATAGCTAGAACTTAGAAGCAACCTAGATGCCCCTCAACTGAAGAGTGGATAGAGAAAATGTGGTACATATACACAATGGAGTACTATTCAGCAGAAAATTGCAGAGCTGTAGGACTTTTCTATCTTGGAGCTCCATTTCATCTGCATTCCCCCTAACACACATTGCTCCATAGATAGAGGCAGGAGATGGTGCTAAGCATCCAGTAATACACAGAATTCTTACAAGTAATTTTATTACCCACAGATCAACAGCGCTAAGACTGAGAAACCATGGTTTAGGGCCAACTCAGAGAGCTGTCAAGACACGACCGTCCAGTATGCAGCAACGACCTGAGCACTCCCTCTCCTCTCCTCTGGAGTCTGAGAAAGCCTATAAAGAGACCCCTGTGGATTCTATGTGGAGTAGAAAGCTCTACTTATTCATCTATGGACATCTGGCTTTGTTCCTTGTGGCCACACTGAAGCACTTATCTAAAAAGCCAGAAACTCGCCCCTATCTGCCATTTCCCATAATAGCTCCTGATCCTTAGAAATTCATGGATCTAAACTATACAGAAGCTTTTTTTCTTTTTCTTTGTTTCCTTTTTTCCTTTTCTGGAGGTAAAAAGGGGCCCAAGGGTCACTATGCCTTCACTGAATCCTGCATTGAGGGATCTCTATGCCTTCGGGTTCTTGAGGAGTCTACAAAACACAATATCTGCACAGTCCCTCTCCCCCCCCCGTTGTCTCTTTCTGTTATTCCCTCTCATCCTAGTGAGGGCTTCTGTCCTCAGACTCTACCTCCTTTCCCTAAGTTGAGGTCTCTGGGTCCCAAATTCTGCCCCTCTGATTATTTCACACATTGAGACCAGCAGCATTGGGATGGGGAAGTCAGAAAAGTGCACCCTTTGGAGAATAGAGTCATGCTGATGTCACATCAGAGCTTCAGATAGGAGCCTCCTGATGTCACCCAACTCTTCACCATCACTGGGAGCCTGAGGTTTTCCCAGCCAGCCATTCCCAAGTGTGAGCAGACTGTGACTCCAAGTCTTACTCACAATGGAAAACAAGCTCACATCATGGAACTGTAATTGTCATTGTCGGTGTCCTCGGTGTTTTCCCTGAGAGACAGGGTTTGGAGCTCCTTGGGGGAGATGATGCTGTTTTCATTGCCTCCATAAGGATAGCAGGAGCCCCAGCCCTCTCTGCGCCAGAAGCATTGAATGCTGCACCAGCAACTATTCAAGCAAAATATTCCCAAAGGAAATTTCTATGAGGACTTATAAACAAAAGTAGAATGGAAATGTATCTGTCGTTTACAAGGTGGTATTTTATACAAGTGGAAAAAAGAAGGCGTATCTTCGGAAGACTTTAACACACTGAAATGAAAATCAGTGATAGATGATTTTTAATGCCATTTGGAAATGGTAGCAGGAAATTATCTCCTATGTCATTTATTTTTGGAAAGGAGTAATAAAATGTCACGCAGGGTTGTTTGAATTATTTGTCTCACACAGTTATTGTGAGAGCTGACCTGCAGGTTAACAAGAAGGGGTGCTATGTAAAGCACCCCCAGCCATACAGATGCCCTCATCTCAAGGAGAAATGTGCCCATCAAAGTGTGCTGTGGGCCTGTGAGCAGCTCCTCCTAGACACCCTCTTTGATCCAAAGGCACCTTAAGAACTTTCTGCTTTTAGACATGGTTTTCACTTGTAAAACTGAGGACTGCAGACAGATCCATATCTATTGCCATGCACAAACTTAAGTCCAAATGGATCAAAGACCTCAACATAAATCCAAACACACTGAACCTCTTAGAAGAGAAAGTGGGAAGTACCCTTGAACGAATTGGTACAGGAGACTGCTTCCTGAACACCAGTAGCACAGACACTGAGATCCACAATTGATAAATGGGACCTCCTGAAACTTAGAAGCTTCTGTAAGACAAAGGACACAGTCAACAAGACAAAAGGCAGCCCACAGATGGGAAAAAATATTCACCAACCCCATATCTGACAGAGGGCTGATTTACAAAATATACAAAGAACTCAAGAAGCTAGTCACCAAAACACCAAACAATCTAATTAAAAAGTGGGCTACAGAACTAAATAGAGAATTCTCAATAGAGGAATCTAAAATGGTTGAAAGACACATAGAAGATTGCTCAACATCCTTAGCCATTAGGGAAATGCATATCAAAACAGCTCTGAGATACCATCTTACTCCTATCAGAATGACTAAAATAAAAAACACAAACAACAGTTTATGCTGGAGAGCATGTGGAGGAAGAGGAACACTCCTCCACTGCTGGTGAGAATGTCAACTTGTACAGCCACTTTGGAAATAAGTATGGCAGTTTCTTAGGAAAATGGGAATCAGCCTATCACAAGATCCAGCAACTCCACTCTTAGGCATCTACCCAAAAGATGCACATTCATACAAGTTGACATCTGTTCCACTATGTTCATAGCAACATTATTTGTAATATCCAGAACCTGGAAACAGCCTAGACACCCCTTAAATGAAGAATGGATAATGAAAATGTGGTATATTTATACAATGGAGTGCTACTCAACAGAAAAAAAAAAACAATGGAATCTTGAAATTTGCAGGCAAATGAATGGAACTAGAAGAAACCATCCTGAATGAGGCATCCCAGTTACAAAAAGACAAACATGGTGTGTGCTCAGTCTTATATGGATTTTAGACATAGAGCAAAGGATTACCAGCCTACAGTCCATACTGCCAGAGAAGCTAGGAAACAAGGAGGACCCCAAGAGAAAGACACATGGTTCCCTGGAGAAGGAGAAAGGGACAAGATCTCCTGAGCTAATTGGGAGCTCGGTGGGGGGCGGGGGGTTAGGGGAAAGAAAAGGAGAGAAGAGGAGGAGAGAGGAGGACATGAGGGAGCAGGAAGACTGAGTCAAGAGAACATAGGAGAATGAGAAAAGAGATACCATAATAGAGGTTTAAAGAGAAGTCTGGCACTGGGGAAATGTCCAGAGATCTATAAGGACGACTTTAACTAACAATCTAAGCAATAGTGGAGAAGCTACCTTTAATGCCCTTCCCTGATAAAGAGACTGATGACTACCTTATATGCCATCCTAGAGCCTTCATTAAGTGGCTGGGGAAAATAGAAGCAGAGATTCACAACTAAACACTGAGCTGAACTCCTGCAGTTCAGTTGCAGAGAGGGAGGAATGATGAGCAAAGGGATCAAGATCATGCTAGAGAAACCCACAGAAACAGCTGACCTGAACAAGGGGGAGCTCATGGACCCCAGACTGATAGCTGGGAAACCAGCATAGGACTGACTCAGACCCCCTGAATGTGGATGTCAGTTTGGAGGTCTGGTTAATCTATGGGGCTTCTGGTAGTGCATCAGTATTTATCCCTAGTACATGAATGGACTTTGGGAGCCCACTCCACATAGAGGGATACTCTCTCAGCCTGGACACACGAGGGAGGGTCTAGGCCCTGCTCCAAATGATATGACAGACTTTGAAGATCCCCCATGGAAGGACTCACCCCCCTGGGGAGCAGAAAGGGGATGGGATAGGGGGTCAGTGGGGGGCAGGGAAGGAGGTGAGGGGATTGACAAGTAAAACAAGCTTGTTTCTAATTTAAATTTTAAAAAAGAAAGAAATCCCCCCTTTAAGAAACAAACAAACAAAAAACCGTGATTTTCCTATTGGTCTTGCCTAGCCCAAGGTCAAGGAACAGAGTGAGCAGGCAAATGTGCTTCATGTGTGTTTCATCACAGGGATCATGTGTGCTTCATCACAGGGATGAGACACGGGAATCAGGGTTCGCATGTAGACTTTTTGTAGTATTTAATATCATTTCTTTTATTTCTGTAGAATCTCATGAAGTATATTTTATCATTGTTTCCTGTCCTCCAGCTCTTCCCAGATCTTTCCCCCTGCCAACCCACTTAACTTCACGTTTGTCCTCTGTCTCAATAAATAAATAAATAAATAAATAAATAAATAAATAAATAAATGTCTCATTCATGTTAGCCAACCACTCCTGAGTATGGTGCTCAGTGTATGATCGCCTAGTGCCCTTTGTTGGTGAAAATTAATTTTCCCTCTCCGAGGAGCTATTATTTGTGAGTAGCTTCTTGGCTAGGAGTGGGACTTTGTTCCCACTCCCCTCCTGCTTACTGAGATTTGTCCTGCTCGAGCTTGTACAGGTCTTGTGTGTGCTCTTACGGGCTCTCTGAGTCCTGTTGTGTCTGAAATGCTGTGTTCTTAGAATCATCCACCACCTTTGGTTCCTTCAATCTTTCTGCCTTCTCTTCTGCAGAGATCTCCGAGCTCTGATGGTACTGAGGACTCCAAAGTCTCTCATTTTCTTCACCTCGTCCAGTTGTGGGCCTTGGGGTTAATTGCCATCTACTACAAGAAGACCCTTCTCTGATGGAGCCGAACAGTCGTCTCTATGGGTATAGCAACATGTCATTACTAACAGTTTCCTTGCTGTGTTCATTCAGCAGAATATCAGTCATAGCTTTTCCCCTAGAACCCATGACCCAGATTCTCAGCCTCATTAACAATTACCAGGTACAGGTTCCATTTCATGGAACAGACCTTAATTCAACTTTTTAAATCTTTTTTATTTAACTACTTCACATGCCAATCCCAACTCCTTCTCCTTCCCCTCCTCCCCGACACCCCTACCAATTCCCACTTCACTCCCCAGGGATGGTGAAGCCCTCTGTAGGGAATCTCCAGAGTCTGCCAATTCATTCAGGGCAGGGCCTAGGCCCTTCCCCATGAATCCAGGCTGAGAGAGCATCCCCCATACCTCATTGTGGGATGGGCACCCAAAGTCCATTTGTATGCCAGGGATAAATACTGATCTACTACCCAAGGCCCCACAGATTGCAGAGGCCTCCTCGCTGACACCAAAATTTAGGGAGTCTGGATCAGTCCCATGCTGGCCTCACAGCCATCAGTCTGGGGTCCAAGAGCTCCCCCTTGTTCAGGTCAGCTGTCTCTGTGGGTTTCTCCAGCCTGGTCTTGACTCCTTTGCTCATCACTCCTCCCTCTCTGCAACTGGGTTCCAGGAGTTCAGCTCAGTGTTTAGCTGTGTTAAATCCAATTTTTAGAAAAGTGATTGTTTACTCCCCTAACATTCATCCTCTTCTGTACCTGTGGGCAGACACTACAAACAAGTCACTATTGTAACTCGCAGGGCTCCTATCTGGGGGAAAACAGGGATTCCCTGCCTCCTTCAGGAGCATGTGTAGCATGTCCTAGCACTACGGGTGCTAGCAATTAGGGATAGAGCATCCGGCTGAGTACCAGCTACATTTCTCCATGCTCTCTGCCATACGTGTTGTCTTCAACAACAGGGTCTTACTAGCCAGTTGTAAAAGGTACTTGACTTTTGGGACTTTATTGCTAAATGGTTGAAGGACCTGAGTTGAGTCTCTTGGATATGCTTAAATTCTTTATGGTACCAGATTGCCAGTTAGGATGGACTCTAGTTACCTCAGAATGTGCCGAAATTTTATTAACAAATTTTATTTCCACTCACTCATTTGTAAGGACTGCCCCTTATGTGAACAAAGAGGAAACGTAATGTGGGTGATAATAGGACAGTAATCATTGCTATGGCCAACGTAGTTGACATTAACCTCACAGGGCTTAAAGAGGAGTAAGAAGGCACAAGACCCAAAGGTGTGTGAGAACACCAAGCAGAGACAAGGAAGCTCTCCGTCACCGTGAAAATGGAGTAGGCGTGGGAAGCCCAGAGAGCAGCGAAGCATGGGAGGAAAAGAGTGATTGGCATCTCAGATGCTGCCTAACCACACTCACCACATTCATTGGGCATTCTCCCCTCAGGAATCCTTCTTTTAAATTGCTTCCTGTGGTTTGGTATCTTGGTTTGTTGGGTTTTCTTTCTTTTTTTTTTTTTCATCTTTCTATCCAAGTCCAGTGTTTGCAATTAGATGCCTTTAACGATCTTTCACTTTTCTTCACACATTAACATGGGGACGGGGGACAGGGGTGGGGCAGGGACAAAGCCTCATTGTGATTCCCAGAAATCATGTACCCAGTGAGGGACCACCAGGCTGAGGGGAGATCTCCCCTTCCTCGGTCTAGTCATTTCTCTCTTGTCTTCTATAGGAATGCCCCATTTATATCCCCCCCCCCCAGGTTTCCTTTCTGAATATCCCATAGACAAGACAACTCTCTCATGGTACATAACACACTGCACTTATTCTCAAGGACCTACCCCTCCTGTGGAGTTTGTTCTTTAACATTTTGTTTAAATAGGAGACAAATACTCGTCATTGAGGATTGCTATATTGGGTAAGAAAAGGAGGTCCCACCTCTGGCTGTGGCTCCAAGTGCCCTTCACCCATGATGCAAAATAGTTCTGGGATCTTCTGACTGTGGGACCCTTCCTCATCCTGAGTTAAGCATGAGGTAATGAGGCTTGGTTAGCTTTTCCAGTCACCCCTAGAGGGGCCCTGTTAGCCAGGACACATGTACATTGTCTGTGAAAATGAGTCTTAGTCATTTCCCTTCAATGGAACATCAGAACAGATTCTACACTACATTCCCCTCTTTTGTTGGCACTGTCACGGACACTTTTAAGCTTTCCTGTTCTTTTGGATTCCAGTGGCATCCTCAGGGTTTATCTGTTTGGCCCATCAAATCTGGCATGGTGAAAATCCAAATGTCCTACGGTCAGGATTTCCACTCATCTGTCAGACTCCAAAATCTCCAAATTTGTCCTATTTCATGCTGCCTTTTAAGGCAGGCCAGAAATATACTCTATTCAATCTGCCTCTTACATACCTGGATCTGTTTCAAAATGAATTCTAACCCACCAAGGGAAAAAGTGATCTTTATGCATTGAGAGGCCTGCATCTCAAACAATATCAAATATTACCAGACACTCAGAGGAAAGTTCACCCTTGGTGAACACAAGGTTTAACAAAATGTGTGCAAGGCACCTGGGACTTCATAATTGAGATATAATTAGATATGAAAAGGAAAAACTCTAGGCTTTGATGAACCATATCCAAATGCCTGCTATACCACCCTAGGTAACAATTCTAAGCTTTGGCTTTCTAACTTGTCAAGTAGAGATATAATGATGTGGAAATTAAGATTTAGCTAAAAGTTCTCTATATACACAGGAGGTAAATAAAAATAAATAAATAAATAAATAAATAAATGAAAACCAGTGGTTGTCTTGGGTAAAATCCTATCAGTTGCAAACAACATTCCAAGCAACCTAGCTTGCTTACGGGCAAAGATGATTTTACATGATGTAAACTCAGAGGCCGCAAGAGCTCCACCTAGTTTGGGAACGAAGTGGTGCTGGGTATGGAACTTACCCCATGGTGAGTACACACCCTATCACGAAACTGCATCCCAGGCACAAATACAGTCTAACTCATCAGTTCCTAGTGCTGTCAGTCCACCAGCGCTCTGAACTTGACAGAGACAGCTTTGTGTTGCAAATCTCTCCATGTTGACCAAATGGGCTTTCCTCTATTTACTGACAGGAGTCTAAGGATTCACTTTGATTGCACTCTCTAGAGTCAAGCAGTCAAAGAATTGCAATCCTCTGATTGGTTGGGCTTGGGAACTTGGGAAAAGGATGTAAACTTTACTTTAAAATTTGGAAACCTAAGATAGAAAATTCTTTGTTCCTGTGTCTTACCTCATCCTATTGCTTCTGTGTGAAAAAACACCCCTGCTATCTCACCTGTCTCTTCTTTAAAGGAGTTAGAAAGTCTTACAGTTATGAATGTCAGACACTTCCATTTGCCAGAGACGGAAAACCACCAAGCACATAGCACTTCATTCAGTAATCATCAGCATCCATATCGTGGCAAGAATATTTGTGGATGCTTCAGTATTAGCGATGGGCTCTAAGGACTACCTAGCTGATACTACTGAACAAATAAAGAGGAGCACTTGTAATCCCCAGACCGAAGATACAAGAGCTTGAGCATGCACATGATCTCAATACACTCCCCAAGGAGCCTTTGTCTGAGCCCTGCTAGCTTTTTATTTGGATTCCTATTTATTTGGAATACCTATTAGGTATTCTAATTTTCATTGGCTGTTTAAGGTTGCATGTTGAACCTAATCATCTTTATTTGGGATTCTCCCTTTGTCCTTTCAGTTAAAAAGTCACTGAGAACAAAAAAATGCAGCCTCTTTAATTCCAGGCCAATGGAGCCATAGTTGAATTTTGTTTTTTGCCTTGAGACATGTTGGATCTTGTTTGTTTGAAGATAACACTTGTTCAAAAGGCTGTGTGTAAGCAATAAGCAAATGTAAGTTCAACCAGGCTATCTTGCTATAGGATGGTTCTCCTTTTACTCTCCAACCTGAAGAAAACTGACTTGATCACCGAAGGCACAATAACTTACATGTGGTATTTAGCATATGCTCAGTAAATAGCAACTTTCTTTAGTTCTGAGGTCCTGGTGAGAGAGCTATGCACACTTCCTCAACTCCTACTGTGGCTCTTCCAATCTGTGTCTCCATGAAGCTCCAGTGGGTGGTGAAGAGAGTTTGCAAGTGAGTCCTGAATTAAAATTGAATATGTGAGGCTTTTCAGTGCAGCTGTAAGTAGAGTTGTGTTTGTTAGATGTTTAAAGCACCATTGTATGTTATATGTTGTGTTGTGCATATTGGTGTTGTTTTAAGGTACAGATGTTTGTCTGAAAGCTCCATGTTTAAAAATCATAATCAACAATGAATCCAAAGAGAAATGTTTGCAAACCTGAAAACAAGGACATGATTGGAAATTGAAAAATGTGGCCCACTTATACCACTGACAGTCATGAACCACATCTAAGAGAGTACCCTGAAATCAAAGTGACAAGTGGAAATCCACTAAGGGAGTGCACACTGAAGTTAACAAATCTGAGGTTGGTCTCAAACCACATAGGTCTGGTCAAGCAGGCTTCTTTCAGTAAGTAGCTTGTCTACAACAGTGACTAAAATAAAGTGCTCATGTGTCTGTGTGTGTGCATATGTGTGCAGGCATGTTTGTGTTTGTGTGTCTGTGTGCTTAATTAATCACTATTTTGTTACTCCATCAACCTTCTCTGTCCTTCAGGGATGCACAACAATCCCAGGAACCAGTGCTAAACAGGCAACTCTTTTTCTCCATAACCCAAAAAAGAGGGAGCACAAAGACCTGCTACCAACCCCCACCCAGTCATCAGGTTAAAATAGCCATTCTTTCTTTGAGAAAAGCAAATAAGTATGGAAATTATGGTGAGTAAACATGCAATATACATGTCTCTCCAAATATTCCACTATTCCTTCAGTCAACAAGAGTTACATGGAAGAGTACAAACAGTAGGCAGGAAACAGTCCTAGCAAGCAGAATAAGCAGAGTGTAGTGTTCTCTGTTACTCTATCAATCCAGCTTTGTCATGATAAAGCTGCCACAG